AGAGCATCGTCTTCGAGGGTACGGACGATACTTCTTCTGGTTTACTTGTCTGGGCATAATGGTGGAGTCCACGCCTCATTTTACAGTGGGAAAAGGGGGGGGGGGGGGGGGGGGGTTAGACCATCTGGTCTAAGTAGTGCTGACAGAGAGTGAGAGAACGCGTAAAAGTGGTGTGATCCTTTATTGTTCTGTGAGGCGAATGGCCACCGCTTCTCTCTCTCTCTATGCCCTCCCCTTCCCTGGCCTCCACGAATATTGGCATGAAAGTGAGATCCGATGAACGATGGATAACCCGTAAGCGCCACTTTTTCTCTGACTGGTCGAGTTTTCGGTCATGGAGTGTGCGTCGTCTCCATGGCCATCTCTTAATGAGATGTTCAAAATTCAGGGCATCAACGATAATGGAAACCTAGAGTTTCAGTGCATACACTCTCAAGAAAAAAGGGTGTAAAAAGGGTGTATCGTTACACCCTTTGTCCCATACAATACACCCCAAAATTTCATTTCGACGTACAGAGCCCTATATATAGTCGAACAGACGTCCCCAAGTATTACGAGGGACTTGATAACGGTGCGATATAACTTCTTAAGTAGGTAAAGTACGTATCAAAGGCCACATAAAGAAAACACCGAGTTTTTACAGTAGGGCCAAGAAAACCCCGATTATTTTTTTGTATTAAGTACAACGTACATTAGCTATTTTAATAAGTTGTACCACACGGCTATCAAGCCCCTCGTAAAATTTGGGGCCGTCTGTTTGACTGTAGGGCGCTGTACGTCGAATTAAAGTTTTGAGGTGCATGATATGGGACAAAAAGTGAAACGATACACCCTTTTTTCTTGAGCGTGTACTTTGCTTGCGAAAAAAAAAAAGCTAAAAAAAAAGCACACACATTGTTCTCACCAAGAATAACACACTCTAATCAACGGAAACACATCCAGGTAAGCTGGGACACCTGCATTCTGCATTGGCTACATTGTAACGCTAGAACCAAGTTTTTCTTTTCTTGTGAATAACGGGCGAAACACCCGAGCCAACACGGAGCGTTCCTGGATCGCTTCTTTAGCTCCGAGTCTCGTAGCGGAGGTAGACGCTGCTACTGAGCATGCGCACCGCTAGCTTTGTCTGCAGAATTCCAAAGATCATTTCCGGAGGCCGTAAGCTATCGGGATGGCGGGTGTGGTTGCAGTTTTCGGTGCCTTGTTAGCTTACTGCTGAACAAAGTACACCGACACTCTTTCTCTTCAATGCAATATTTTATTTTTACATTGACTACCATAATACGGGCGTATGTGAAAGGAAAAGTAGTGTTGCGGAGCATTTAAAAAAAAATATTGTTTTTATTGTTTTCTGGATAAGTGCACGGAAAAAAAGTAACGTTAAAGTAATTTGTAACGTTACGAATAAAGTAATCCGTTACTTTTCAGCGAAAGGAATTTGTAACGGTAATCCATTACATTTGAGGCTCGGTAGTTTGCAATTGTAATCCATTACATTTTTCAAGTAACGAGCACAAGTCTGATTTAATTGCAGCTTTTTGGAGGCCACCAAAATAGGATTAATATTGTTTTTCTATTTTTAATATCGAATGTCTGCCTTATATCACCCACGACTTTGAATATATTTGGAATGCCGTAGACGACTGGAAGCACGCATCTGGCCGCCGCTATGTTTTGCTCGTGCGGGCAAGTACGTGCAATTACAAGCTTGCCAAAGCTACGTTCACGCTCACGCTGCACATGCTTGCACGCATTGGGCACCAGTGTGGCGTTACGCTTGCAATTAGTTATGTAAGGTTTTCACTGGACGCCATAGTTGAGGGCGATGTTTAAAGGGGTGGTGCAACGATTTTCGGACTTCGGTCAAAGATTTCTGGAAGTTGCCCCCTGACACTTCTGAAGTAAAGAACAGAAAACCGATTTCGCCTGCGTGTCCTAGTTGTTGCGTAAAAAAAAGATAAAGATGGGCATTTCGGGCACCCCTCAACTCACTCCCAGCCTTCAGGGTCACACCTGGTCGCACTCCCAGTGACGTCATTCGGAGTGCCGTGTAGCTTCCCGTGTGCTATCTCGGAGGACGCTTCCCCTCCCTCTCTCTGCGTACATTAGCGGGCGCTATGCTGCAGCTTAGAGCCGAGCGAGGTCACGCAATCTTTCCGCCGTAGTTCCTTCGGCTGCCACTTGGGGCTGCAGGTGGGGGAAAAAGCTCGACTTTTGCTTTGCGATTATGCAGCGGAATCGCGACATTTTTAATAAACGAGGTGTTTTCTCTATCCTCTGAGACACGATAAACAACGTAAAAATGACGAGATGCAAATTCTTTTAATCATAAAATCGTTGCACCGCCCCTTTAAGCGCATGCATGATCAGAACAAGCTCACATTAACAGCCTGCTAAGACCGGTAATCATGATGGTGCGGTAAGCACGTTGCAAACGAACTGTAGAAGCTCGCCTTGAGCACGCGCTCAGCAGCCGCGCACACAGCTATGACCGCCTGTAAATACTCACTATATTTTGAACCCTATAGGTTACCAGGGAAAGAGAGTGAGCGCGACTGAAACCGGCTGATTCTTGGCGGAAATAAAACGAATTTCGAGCGATGAAAAAAACAGTTAAAGTGGAGGCGAGCTGGTGTAAGTTATGCATGATGAATAATAAATAATTAGGGCTGTGTGGGTTTTTGCGCAGCGTGTAGTTGGTCAGCCATTTCAAAGTTGCGAAGAGTCACTCGCTGTATATGGATGAGCAATTTAGCCCGTGCAGTACCACCGTTAGCCTGGGGTCCTTAACGTGCACCACGCAGTAGTGTACACGACCGCACGCCGGCCCGATGCTCATCTAGATTGAAATGGGCACGGGTGGGGATTAAACCCGGAATCCCTGGGTTCTGCAGCGCGAGTATACATGATGGTTGAAACCTGAGACTGTGATTTGAAAAGCTGAAACTCGTGAAGGAGGAAGAAAAAGGGACAGACAAGCTAGGGCTGGGCAATTGATCGATTAACCTTCCGATTAATCGATTAAGGCTTTAATCGCGATCAATTTTTTTAACCAGTTAATCGGTTAAAATGAGGCGAACAAAAGTAAATAAATATACGTTTTTTTCCTTTCTCCTGGTGCCGTTCCCTCTAAAACGAACATACAAACTTGCTCCTTGTTCACCTCGTAGGTAACACCCAACAAACAAATCATTCGTCGTGAGTCACGCGGGATTGGAAGAAAAAAGCGAAAACAGAAGCAGAATGAAAGCAGGCTTTACGGAAGTCCGGTGACCTCGGTCATGAATTTGGACGCGCTCTTTTTGAGCACACGCAGCAGCTTTTTTTTTTTTTTTTTGAAGGCACGCAAGCATGTTGGCTTACGGGTTTGCAGCGACAAAGCTAGAGCTCTTCCGAAGGCTGCCTTGATCCCCATTGTGGGTTATGCTCCGTCCTTGCGGTCGCTACAACGTGACCTCGCTCGTCTCTCCGCTCGTTCAGCGTGGTGCAAAGCCGGCCGTGGTCGTGGCTTGCTTCAGTATTCGACCCTGTGTTTTATTTGTGTGGTTGGAATTTCTCTCTCGGCGTCGCTTTTGCCTCTTGACGCAACGACCTTGGCGGACCTGCACTGCCCGTGGCAAAGTGCTTCCAGATGTTCCCCCTAGGGTGCCTACATGTTTCCGCCGCTCGTAGGCACCCTAGTTCCCCCGTTCTCTCGTCGTCTTTGACGAGTTGGCGCCGCGCGCAGCCGGATGGGCTCGTTTCCCTTTTCCCCGTAAAAAGGGGCCTTTCCTTCGCCGGGGATTTTCTGTTTGTTGAAAGCTTCAAGGACGTCGTGGAATTAGAGCGTGCGGGTAAAGTTACATGAACGACGAAGATGTTTCATCCTGTTTTTGTCCTTCATGTACTACTCCTATAACACCTTCAGGGACGTCCTCGACGGATCGACGCTCCCCAATTATCCCCGTCTCCCTTGCCCCCGTCTTTCCTCTTCCCTTCATGTCGCGCCGCAGTCACTTGTTTGAGAAGTATCTCATCACAACATCCTGCGCAGGCATGGACGAATACAGGAGTATGAAGGGCAACCTTTCAGGGAAATTTGGGTTTAAAGTAAACTCCGCGGGCGAAGTTTTTGACTTAAAGAAATTTCACTGCCTCATCTGCAAGAAAGCTTTCACATATAGCGGAAGTGTAAGCTCGCTTCAATACCATCTCAGAGCTAAGCACCCAAGCATCTCGCTGCAACAAGAATCATCTGCAAAAAAGCAGACGACTATCGACGTTTTCTCTTCGAGGCCGGTTTCTCTGAAGAAAGAAGAAACTACTGCACAAGCCCTTACATCTTGGCTTGTTTCTTCTAGCCGGCCTCTCAACATTGTGGAAGATCACGGGCTAGCGAAAGTTCTTCAGATTGCCTTGGGTTCTCCGTCTTACCAGCCGCCGTCTCGTCGTGCAGTGAGTGCCAAGGTGGATGCCCTGTATACCTCGAGACGGGAGCGTCTTCAAGCAGAACTCTCGGCAGCCAGCTTCATCAGCTTAACAGCGGACTTCTGGACCTCCATCGCCAATGACGCCTACCTCGGGATAACGGCGCATTGGATCGACGACGACTGGATGCTTCGATTGGCAACATTGCAGGTGAGACATGTACCTGAGCGCCATACGGCAGAACAATGTGCCAGTGAGGTATTGGAGACTGCTACAGATTGGGGAATCGTTGAAAAGGTAGAAGCTGTCTGTACCGATAATGCCCGCAACATCTGTCTTGGGGTGGAGAGAGCAAACTTTCAGAGTCTGAAGTGCGCAGCTCACACGCTTCAGCTGTGCGTCCACAAGGCGCTCAGCGTGACGGGCGTGGAGCGACTGCTAGCCGCCTGTCGTCGTACTGTGGGCCACTTTAAACACAGTTCGAACAACCAGGCCGTCCTTTTAAAACATGCCGCTGAACTCGGAGCACCTAAGAAGAAGCTTCAGCAGGACATCGCAACACGGTGGAACAGCACGTACATATATAACCAGCCTGCTTGAACTGAAGGAGCCTTTGCGCCGCTCCATGGAGGACAGCAGTACCATTAAATCGTCGATTCCCCACCTCACAGACGTCGATTGGGACATGTTGGAGCAGCTTCGGGAAGTTCTGAAGCCCCTGCTCGACATTACTGAGCTCCTTGGAGGGGACAAGTACGTTACTCGGTCTGTACTTATTCCAGCCGTAAAACTGCTAAAGAATAAAATGAAGACAAATGACTGTGACCCTGCCTTCATCTGCCGCTTCAAGGCCATGCTTGTGGACTCTATCGATGAGAGGCTTAGCGCGTGGCCGCGGTACAACGACTATGAACTGGCAACGTGTCTCGATCCTCGTTTCAAGAGCCTCGCATGCATCGAAAAAGATCGCCGCGAACTTGTGTGGGAAAGGCTTTCCCAGCTAACACATGCGTCTTCGGACGACGATTCTACTGATCTGACGCCCAAGAAAAAAAGAAAATACGTTTTCTCGGAGGAAAACGAAGAGCCCACCATCTCCTGCCAAGTGTCGCTTTATCGATCGATGGCCGAGGTGACGGACGATGAACTGGACCCCCTACAGTGGTGGCGAGCTCAGGGCTCCCTGTTTCCTCAAATTGTGCCAATTGTGAAGAGGGTGATGTGTGTCCCAGTCACCTCAACGCCCTGCGAGCGTCTGTTCAGCGCAGCAGGGATGATCGTCAACAAACAAAGAAACTCGCTCCTGCCGGAAAATGTCAACAAACTTCTTTGCCTCCGCAGCTGGGGTTGTGATCTGTGAGTGCGTTACATCAACGTTTATTCTCAATTAAGTTTGTATATATGCGCCGTTTATCATACAATAAAACAAATTGTAAGGACAAAATGTCTACTTTTGCTTTTTACTAAAATCAACCGATTAATCGATTAATTAATCGATTAAAGGGTGGCGATTAATCGGGTTAAAAATTTTAATCGACGCCCAGCCCAACGTCTCTGAGACGTTGTCTGTAATTTTTTCTTCCTTTTCACGAGTTTCCACAGTCTCAGGTTTCAATCATCATGCAGAATTTCGAGTCACAGATTGTGTTCTGAGTAGTTGGTCTCTTATAGGTCATGCTCAAATAACAACCTCTGCGAGCATAAATAACGATGTATAAAAAACGTTGTTGTTTCTCGACCGTCAAAGCGACACTTCTTGAGCTTCTCTCCATTGTGAGCGAGTGTTTTTTGCCTGAACATGATAGAACTTGATAATTCACAGACTAAACGCTAGTGATTAATCGATCACAAAAGTTTAATGTGCGCTAATCTTTACTGTGATCCAATGGCCTCGACCTAACTAATCAGAGCGACGCGTGAGACGCAAAGCGTCGTTTGCGTTCGCGTCGACGCTTTCGCGCCTGACGGGACCATGTTCCTCTCACAGGGGAATACCGCACGAGGGAGTTCAAATTAGATTCGGGCACGCCAATGATCTCACGTTTACTAATTGCGAACGCTTCATATCGTTTCCGCAGTTTCTTTTGTCTGGAGCGGACTCCAGCGGCGATATGAGTTCAGGATCCCCTGAGGTTTTAGGGATCGTTTAATTAGCGCCACATCGGTCAGTCTGACGTCGTTTGAGCATGTGGCGATCGCTGGCTGTTATTATATAGCCTGTTGGTTTGGGTCAAGGTGGCGGAACCGGCCGAGTGGGCGCACCTATTCCCCTCGACAACGCCATCCGTACACAACATCCATGCAACATTCGCAAAAAGAGATTTTGTCGCGATGTTGCGGATACCTCTGTATGCAACGCGCATTGTTCTCAAAGTAACGTTACAAGGATCTTATGATACATGCTGCGGCATTATATGACATTTACAACGTATCATAAGCGTTGCTGACATGCTCTTTGCTACCTGGCAGAGCTATTGACTGATTGAACGCGAATTCCAGCCGCCCTGTGACATACATGCTCGGGTTCAATATGTGCTCCGCGCTGGCCCTCAGTACGTGACGTGTAAACTTCAGCAGTACGGCCTTCTATCTAGGTAGTGGTGTTGTGGTGTACACGTGTCGGCCGAAAGAAAAAATGAAAGCCGTTTACAATTCCCTGTAACGCCGGTTAGAGCGCAGCTCTTGAGGAGGAAGATGGAAGCGTACTGAGGGATAGGTGACTCCTTGAGGTCACGTGACCTCAAGGGGGTCACGTGACTTCAGGGGGTCACGTGACCTCCGGGGGTCACGTGACGTGACCCCATGAGGTCACGTGACCTCGGGGGTCACGTGACCTGAAGGGTCACACGACCTTAGGGGGTCACGTGATCCCCAGAAGTCACGTGACTTCAGGGGGTCACGTGACCTTAGGGGGTCACGTGACCTCAAGGGGTCAGGTGACCTCAGGGGGTCACGTGACCTAAGGTGGTCACGTGACTTCAGGGGGGTCGCGTGACCTAAGGGGGTCACGTGACCTAGGGGGGTCACGTGACCTGGGTGGGTCACGTGACCTCGGGGGGGGGGGTCACGTGACTTCGCGGTTACGCCGACGCCGACGGCGACGCCGACGCCGCTCAAGCCGGAAACGGGCCCCTAAGAGCTGCGCTCTAAAAGGCATGGCGTTCAGCGATGGTGGTACCGCGGTGTGAGGATCGAGCTCCCTAGCTCTTGGACGATCGGCTTCAGATTAAATGTACTGTCGTGAGCAAAAGTCTGGATAACACGGGAGCGCCGACCGAATTGCATCGCCGCGCTCCCTGACGGCGCGGCGCCTGGTGCCGAGACCCGCGTAATGCGCACGCGCGTCCTTTCTTATCTGCTGGCTCACTCGTTCGCTCGCTTCAACGCGATGCGCTCCTGAGCGATTAAATGGGCGCTAGGTGCCGCCCCGGGAACCAAGATTCCGAGAGCCTCGCTCACCGCTCGGGACGAGCTCGCGTGCTCCGCGGCACGCGCCGTTCGCGCATATCTTTCCCGCGACTCGGCGACGCGTTAAAAACTCTCGCTTATGTTGATGCAGCCGCAATGAATTGTAGAACTTGTTTTCGCGTACTCGAGGCAGCCTTGGGCTTCCTTCCGAGTGATCATGCACGCGCGCTAAAGTGGTGAATGACGAGCAAAAAGGAAACACCAAATAAGAAAGAAATATTTTTTCAACCCACCTCCCAAGAAAAAAGAAGAAACAAAACGGAAGGAAAAAGAGGAGCTGGTTCAGTTTGGGTGGCTTGTAATTTTTATATTGTTGATAGCGTCAGAAAGAATCGAAAAAGCATCACTTTCCTGCAAAATGTTGCAATTCTGTTGTGTAATCGCAAAGCAGAAATGGAAATATTTCCCCTCTGCAGCCGTCCGCGGCGGCCATGGGAAACGCGCCGTGACGGTGACGCGGGGATCGCTGCAGCTCAACGCCTCACGAAGAGCAGTAGAGAGAGAAAGAGTAAACATCCTTGAGGAGAGCGCTCGGAAACCGGTGCATCCTCACGTCGACGTCACTGAGCACGTCATTCGGAGAGTTGAGGGGTGCCGGAAGCTTGAATCTTTGCTATTGTTTAAAATTATAATTAGGGCACACAGACTAAATCGCTTTTCAGTTCTTTACTTTAAAAGTGTCGGAGAACAACTCCTATAATTATTTGGCCATTGTCCGTAAATCGTTGCATAGCCGCTTTATTTTATGACTTCCGGTACAAGTCATCACAGCTGATGTCAAACTGAACATTTTAAGGTCACTTCGCGAACAACCATGCTGAGAATTTGTGGCCAGTACCATGTTTTTTTTTCGTTGTTTACTTGACTTCTTGACCCTTTACAACGCGTGCATAATCAATTGAGCAGCAGCTGTTTGCATTGTAGCCGGGGCATATATAGGGGGAAGCTTAAAAATAACGAATGGAGGGAAGCGACAGTTTTTAACGCGTCGCCGAGTCGCGGGAAAGATATGCGCGAACGGCGCGTGCCGCGGAGCACGCGAGCTCGTCCAGAGCGGTGAGCGAGGCTCTCGGAATCTTGGTTCCCGGGGCGGCACCTAGCGCCCATTTAATCGCTCGGGAGCGCATCGCGTTGAAGCGAGCGAACGAGTGGGCTAGCAGATAAGAAAGGACGCGCGTGCGCATTGCGCGGGTCTCGGCACCAGGCGCCGCGCCGTCAGGGAGCGCGGCGATGCAATTCGGTCGGCGCTTCCGTGTTATCCAGACTTTTGCTCACGACAGTACCTACAGCTTCCTGACGTGGAAGTGAGGTGCAAGGCTCTTATATCGCTGGCATTTCACAAAAATTAGATTTATTCACGGGCCGCAGACCCAACCTCGTATGCCGGTCTACGACAATCCTCCAGATGATAGCCATTTTGATAGGAACTAGTGCGCCTCCAAATTGGAGCGCTTTCGTGTATGTCACATCGCCTTTTTTACGGCATAAATAGAGGAAGAACGGAAGGGAAAAGCCTTAGGGAAACACGCCTTAGGGAAAATTTACGGCTCCCAGATTTTCTTACGCTCATCGGGTAAGCAACCCGGGGGCCGGCTAGAGGCTAGAGCGAGAATCCATGAGGCGTACTTAACTAAGCCTCGCCCCCCCCCCCCCCCCCTTCCCCCCTCCCCTCTTCCCCCGATAACCAAACGATGTGACATTTACGAAAACGCGCCAATCACGAAAATAATCCCTGGAGAAGGGGAACAAGAGGGTAAATTGAGCGTATGGTTTTCTCATGAACTTTTCCCAAAGAGCTCGATATTCCAGCGGACGGCAATGTTACGGCGGTGGACGTTCATCCGAAGTTATTTGTATTCGCAGCAGACGACTCTTGACCTGTTTCTCCGAGCTTCGCGTCTGGCGCAGTGACGCACACGCAACCGTGACGTGGTGTCAAGTTCTTCGCTCCGAAACCCTTATTGGGTCGCATGGGCCGTAACCTCCCCAGTTCGCCAAGTTATCCTGAAACGGAGCATGGTGGCACGAGTTTTCACTGTGCAAACAATGAAAATTCAAATTGGGCGTGGAGTGCTTACACATGCAGTGAGAGGTCAGTCTGCCTCTTGAGATATGTAGAGGCTGGTTCACGCAGGATGAGAAATACAGTCAGTGCTCTATGCTGCTGACCTAGAGCCTTTAATGGGCATCACGCAGTATTGACGATACACGAACGCAGTTCACGCTCACACAGGAGCAACGCCAAGCAAACAAGAACAACAACAACAACTAGTCGAAGTAACGTTGATGGGTAGTACTGTCGCAGTTGAAAAATTGTAGCCCAACTTAGACCTGCAAAGTGAAAAAATTCCAAGGACACCTAAGCACTTCTCATGAGTTGGGAATGCGAAAACACGAATGTCTCTCTTCCGCTCGCTTAGTTCGTCTGCGATGTACTGGCGTGGACGGGCACTCCCCGAGGTTGTGGCCGGCCGCCGAGCGGGCGCTCTCGTAAAGCGGCCCGTCGCCAAGCCAGCAAATAGCACTTTTAATATGCCCAATGTGAGTGCTATAATCAGTGTCTTTATATTGAAATGGCTGAATCGATTTTTAGTAGATACTTCACAAAAAAAGAGAGGAAAACGACAATTTCGAAGGAAAGTATATACAGGGTGTTATTTTTTATTCGAAACAGATTTATTTTAAAAAATCCGTAAAAGATGGAATGATACGGTTTGTGAAGGTGAGTTATACGGCCAGGGGGACATTTTATAGGGGGCTAATCGTAACGATCAGTTGGCTAATTAATTAAAATTCGTTAATTAACTTTTTAATTAATGAAAATAGACATATGGTTCCAATTAGAAACTCGCACAGCGTCACCGAAAACCACTAAATCAGTCATTTTCAGAAAGTCTTTGAGCGCGTGAGAAGCGTAGTAGTGCACTAAAGTTACGACTCGTGGAGCAGGTACAAGGCTGGGGCTAGATAAGAGACG